TGCATTCTTGCCACTGTTTTTTTTCTTTTTGGTCACTTGGTGAACTTGATATTTTGCTTTTGTTGCCTCATCTAGTCTATCTTCTATTCTCTCAAAGTGTCATACAGATTGCAGAGTGGACATTGATCTTTCTTAGGACGGAAGAAAAAAGTTATATTCTGTACTAAAAAATGATTCTGTACACAGCCTCTGAAACACACTTTTCTATTTTTGTCCTTGCATTTTTTCTACATACAGTGAGTATATTCGTTTTATATTTAAATCTTGCGTTAGATACTTCCTGTTGGGGTCTTCGTGTGTAGTGTGATTCATTAGTCGGAAAGCTTTTCGTTGTGTTTCTTTACAAATGATTCTGTGATATTACGTGGTTTTATTTCCAGGCACAGCTTTCCCTCTCTTGTCATTTCCAACATATAACCCTGCACTTTGTGCTTAACTGCGTTTGCAACTGTTTTGGAACCCGACATCGATAGTTTTTTAGTAAAAAAATTCTGGAAAACAAAGTGATCCCTCGGAAGCATTAATCACAACAAAATTACATAAAAATTGCAGACTCGGTTTGATTGAGTCTGTACATGAGAGATAATGAATAAGTGCAACATCCCTCACGCCCTCTTTTTTCTACCTGTGTGAAAAACGAATTCGAAATAGGTCTTTCTTTTGTTCTCTGTTTTAGATATATCTCTGGTTCTTTATTGGCAACATGGAAACAAATGAATTGCCTCTGACTTATGTAATCACCCATTGACCAGTATGTACTGAATATTTTCTGTCTTTCATATTCGGTTATATTCTCGCTGCATTTAATTCTAAAAGATAAATTTCGTGGGAAAAGAGATAACAGATAGTGCCTTGTGAACTGTATGAATGCAGCATTCTGTCAGGGGAAAAAGGTGATAAAATCAGTTATAACCTTTTTCCACTTCAGATTCTTCACAACATGTGGAACAACAAGTAAACAACAGGTAATAAGTACACTTAGAACCTTTTACCCCTAAATAATTTGTAGAAAAGAAGTTATTACAAAATACTTTTTAATTTTTTGCCCTTATAAGGATTGAATATTTATATAATATTTTCGTCAGACATAAAGGACAATAAGTACATTATAAAAAACATAAAAAGTCAATTTCGGCAAAAGTGGCAGTTATAACCTTTTACCTTTGAACCCTCGATATGTAGTTTTATTTTCATTTTTATAGCTTGTGGCATTGATCTGCCTAACCTATTTTTCGCATTGTTATTGGTCTTTGTTATGTAAACAAAGGCTCAAGTTATCATCTTAGGACAGTAATTCATAGGTAGCATATTAATAACAATAACAAAAATTATCTGGAATAGATAATCTATCAGTGTTCACTTTTCACAAAAAAACTACAGGAATGATTAGACAATCTGTTTTGAACATCCTTTGAACACTAAGTATATCTTTTGCAAGAAAGTAAGACTATTCCCCCCCTCTAAGAAATTTCACAGATTGTTTGTTCATTGAACACCTGACTATCACCTGGGGGCCCTTCATGGCCATGCTGACTCTCAATCACTAGCCCTGTATAGCTGTTTATTTTTTGGTGGTGGTTGGGGTTGGGGTTACACCAATTCATCTTAACATTTTGTCCACCTTACCAGTTTTTACTGGATAACTCAATAGAAAACTACAGAATGCTTTGCAAGTGGCAATGACTACTTATCCAAAAAATGATTTCTAAATCAGCGTTGTGAGACAAATATGATATTAGACTCAATGTTGAGGATCAATTGCTGTATCCTCACGCCCAAGGATCCAACTTGTGACCCCTGTTGGTCTCTCTAGTTGATGTAAGATCGAGGGCTGCATTCCAAATTTGAATGATATTAGTATTGTACCCTGCAGGAATCATGCCGAAGTTTGCCAGAAATTATAATGCCCTAAAGGTCTTATCATCTCTGTTTTCTTTATAATTGTATTTTAATTAAACACTCTTGATTTAACTGTAATCATTCAGACTTTTACTATGTTATGAATACTTACATTGTATGAAAATTACCTGATTAAAATCATATCAAAAGGAAATTGTTTCCTGTAATGTAATGTATCTTCACAAAGCATGTAAGTGTGTAATCTTCAGGTACTTTACAGTGATAAACATTATCTGAAGATAAAATTCTTGTATCCGTTTTTTTATATCCCTGTTTACCTAGATTTTTTATGCAACCTATGTTCTGCTGAGTCCTGAGTGACAGGTTTTATCCTGCCCTATTTCTAAATGACAGGTTTTATCTATGCTTTTTTTTTAATGTCAGGTGTTCTGATTTATATTTTATCAATGTTTTCTGTAAATTTCTTTAAGAAAGTTAAAATTTACCTAGGTAGATCAGTATAATTTCTATATTCCCCACACTTAGACCTTTACTCTGCTGGTCCATACATGTAGCTGCCATGTGATGGCTTAGTGGTCCTATTTCTTCCATAACGGTCCCTTTATTAACAGAAAAACTCTTGAGAGGCAGATATCTTAAACACTTAATCTAAACCAGGTAAGGTGTGCCATGTTTCAAAATAGTTTTTTTTTTTAAGGCAGCAGATGAGATGAAGATATAATTATATAATGGCACAATGTAAGAGTAATGTTGTATTGTTTTAATGGTGTGATTGTTTGAAGGGGAGGTAACTTTATGGTTTTTCAAACTATTTTGAAAGGGAATTAACCTTTTTTATCATAATCAAATACATGTAAATAGAAAATACTGGAAAATGTCACCCAAGCTCTGACTGAATTGGTTTAAAAGTTATTTATATTTTAAATTTGTGCCAGTTTAACCTATAAAGTAATTAAGTTGATTTTGTTATCTTTATGAAGCATAGATTTATTATTTGATTTTAGTCCAAAAACACTGCTTGTGCAGGTGCTAGGTAATAATTGATAGCATATATTCTTCAGGTGTATCAACCAAGAATAATAAAATCCTTTTTCTTAGATCTTCAAGCAGGATCTGATTATCTTTGAATCATAGAGGAGAAAACAATAAAACACTGTTTAATCTTTATCACCAAAATCTATTTCCTTGAAAAAGCATGCCACGTTATCATAAGTTGATCTGAATTATCTCCCTTTTTTAGAAGCATGGTTTTGATGCATTTTGCTTCCACTAATATATACTTTGTGTTTAATAAAATACTTGAGCAGAGTAGGTTTAATATTTCCATGTCCACCCCCAACCATCGCTGCATGCAGCAGTCAAAAGGTTGATATTTAGTTTTGCCGATTCTAGAAGAATTAAGATTAGAAGATTAGTTATACAAATATGATTTGATCCACCAGGAATCAGTAACAATTTGTTTTTTCTTTGATTTGAGGCTTTAAAGATTGCTATAATGATATCAAGAAAATCTGTAAGATATTTGAAAAGATAAAGTAATACAAGAACATCAGAAGACTCCTAAATAAGCTTTAAGACAGGTAATGTTGAATCTTGTTATCCATCTGTTGGTCTTGGTGTAAATCTGCTTCAAATATTCTTGTTTTATGTCAGAAAAAGATAAGTTCTATATAATATGTATTATCAAAAAATCAGTTTATTTTGAAGTCCTTTTTAAAATATGTTCTTGATATTAAAGTGACCTTTTAAAATATAGCGGAGCAAACCAAATGATTGTTTATTTAGCTTTTTAATTTTGAAGTCCTTATAGCTGAGCAAACCCATTATACAAATCCAGTAGAATTGAATGTATATTCAATATGGAGATTTAGATAAATGATGAGAAAAGCAGAGTGGCTTTGTTTGCTTTCAGGGAAAGGTAAATTAGTTTGCATGGTGTTTTCAGGATGAAAATGAAAAACAAATTAGTTATTAGACCTCAGCATGTGGCTCAATAATTTTTCTTAGCATTTATAATTGTTTTTGCAGTAAATACATTAAATTTTGTTCAGATTATCTCTATTTGTTCATATATGATTCAATTTAGTCTTCTCTCCACCCACAAGAAAAAGGCAACACCAAAACAACCTCTTGCAATCAATTTTGTCAAAGACAATAATAATACAGGTTATCAGGAGATTGCAGGGATGCCAGAAAGCAAGCACTTGGTTAAAGGCACATTATGCCTCAGAAATCCTCATAGTTAAAGGCACATCATGACTCAGAAATCTATATTTATAAAATTCTTTAAACATATCAAACATATGTTGAATAATGTTTAAAAAATGAATTTAGAACATGTTACATGTTTTTAATACCAACAAAAGCAGCACTGAATTCACAGTAATGTGTTGTAAAGGTAGCAAAATGTAAACAAAGTAGTATTTTGACTTCTACACAAAATACTAATTCAGTATAATTATAGGATTATTGCCAAAAAAGCAAAAAACAGCAAAGGTAGTTCATCTATAAAAATTTATGGCAAATGAGTAATTTTTGGAAACTGTAACATGATACCAAAAATAAAAAGTTGTTGTTGGGCCTTTATATTGATTTATTTTCTGTATTTTGGCAATTAAGGAAATTTTTAGCAATTAATGGTTTTGTACCATTGGCAAAATATTTTCACTGGTGCTTGCTTTGTTTGCTACATGTAAATTACTTCAGAGAATCATGGAAATTCTATGTAATTTATTTTAAGCATCACACTGTTGATGAAATTATTTGATTAACTAGATTGATTAAAGGACTGAGGAAATAAGCAATGATTAGTTAATTAGTACAATAATGTAAGATGAGCTGTGCATATATGTAACCAAATAAAGCTCATGAAAATTGTATTAATTAGCAAAGCTTGATAGATAAGAGCTTCTGATAATAAAATGATTTATCTTCTATATGCATTATCATTAAACTGGAAGATTTAGGTCACCAGCTTATTGCCACTAGATCAATTCACATTGTTTGAAATATAAGCTCAATGTCTCCCTTAGTGAAAAGTCCGGAGTTACAGCCCTTGAATTATTTAAAGTCAGTTAGCATCAGTATTTTTTTTAGCTTGCCAATTCATTAGATTAAACATGTATATTTTATATTTTCAGGTACGCCAAGCGGCCGCGGCTACGTCAGGTTCACACAAGAATGTCAGGGGCATTCTTTCATAAAGGGATTTCCCGTTTCCAGGCTGAGCTTCTGCTCACAAATGCAAAGGATGATGGGAGTTTTCTTGTTCGTGACAGCGAATCTCTTCCTGGAGCCTACGTATTGTGTTTGATGTATGTATTATTAGGAAATGATATTTTGTAACCACAGTTAATCATGTTCAATTTTTATGATGTTCAAAATTCATGTGTGTAGTTCCACAAATGTGATCACAAGAAGAGTGCTGTAAACCAAGAACTGTGAATGAAATAACTTTATGCATACCATGATATACCATCCTTACACGACCATGATTCTAACAATAACTATTCATAGCTGGTTTTCACTTAGTTAATACATGTATAAGGTGTTTTGAAGCTGTTATGCATTACATATATAATGGTAAGCAATGCCCCTCAAAGAGTTTATAGCTTTCATACTGGCTATCCCACCTTTTACCCAGCAATATTGAATTATTATTATTATACTAGCAGAAAAAAAGGAACTGTGCATGGGTATGATATTCTATAGCTTGGAGGTATCACCAAAAAAATCACCAAAAGATTTTCAACAGGGTTTTATCTCAAACTATTTGATAAATATTGTTATAATAATTAACCATGATTTTATTTCATCTAAAAAAATGAATAATAACTAAAAGTAATATAGTCTGTTTTAGAAGAAAACTCTTGATTACAAAGGATTTTTGTCAATTAACTTTATTTGCATTTTAAATGTTTAAGAATTTTCTTTATACCAAAATAAATAACAAAACATTTAAATATAAGTTATTGATGAATTTCATATACAGATTATTTAGACTGGTTCTTTTTGTGATAATTATTTCAATAGACATGGATCATTATTTTTTTGTCGTATTTAAAAAAAGAACATTGATGTTTCCCAAGGACATGACTGCACAATCATGTTGGTGAGTTTAAATAATTGGCTTGTAGCATTGCCTAGTAGACTTCTACAATAATTAAATGAAGAAAGTGCTGTAGGCCAAACCATAATCACAGTGACCCAATGATCTATGTCTCACTGGCAGCATATAGTTAACCCTTTATGAACCTTTCCAGCAATTTGGATCAAAGAGGAGCGATCTTAAGCCATTATTACTCTCGTGTTCTTTTTCTGCAAATCATTTTTTGATAAAGATAATTTTATTTCAAGTTTTCTGGTAAATATTGGACATAATGCAGGTGTTTTTCTAATAAATTTTATAGTTCAGTGAATACAGGAGAGGGAACACTTATTACTGTCACAAAATACCAGAAAACCAAACTTGAAAACATTCATTTTCTTCCATGAACTGCCAATTTCCAGGTATCTGGTAATATTTAAAAAGTGCTTTTATCCCCTCTGGAATTTGATCAATTTGTAAAAGACTTATATGTTTGTGAGATACTTTACATAAAATGTTCAATAGTTTATTTTTCAATTTGATTGACCTTTAATTTTTTTGCCCTTTTCTTAAAGAAAAGTAAGTAAATAATACTCTCTGTAGTTTCTAATTGCCCACGGTTAAGATTTTCCCCAATGGCCATGTTATTTTCCTAAAATCTTCACACTTTAAATAGATAAACAGTTATATTCTTAATGAAAAAGGTTATGTTTTTGTGAAAAGAAACAGATATTTTTAATATACCATCTGTAAATAAGGCAAAGGGCAGTAAAGTGTTTAAATGTTTTATATGTCAGTAAATGTATTAATAATAGTTTCAATTGCAGTTTGTGTTGAGGCTAGTTATATAGGCCAGCAATGTTTGTTGCAAATGTATTTTGGCTCTTTACTGGTTGTGTACAAGAGCAATTTGGCTCTATGCTGGTTGTGTAGGACATGTGTGTTGCAAGAGCAGTTTGGCTCTATGCTGGTTGTGTAGGACATGTTTGTTACAAGAGCAATTTGGCTCTATGCTGGTTGTGTAGGACATGTTTGTTACAAGAGCAATTTGGCTCTATGCTGGTTGTGTAGGACATGTTTGTTACAAGAGCAATTTGGCTCTATGCTGGTTGTGTAGGACATGTTTGTTGCAAGAGCAGTTTGGCTCTATGCTGGTTGTGTAGGACATGTGTGTTGCAAGAGCAATTTGGCTCTATGCTGGTTTTGTAGGACATGTTTGTTGCAAATGTATTTTGGCTCTATGCTGGTTGTGTACAAGAGCAATTTGGCTCTATGCTGGTTTTGTAGGACATGATTGTTGCAAGTGCAGTTTGGCTCTATGCTGGTTTGTAGGACATATGTGTTGCAAGTGTAGTTTGACTCTATGCTGGTTGTGTAGGACATGTTTGTTACAAGAGCAATTTGGCTCTATGCTGGTTTTGTAGGACATGTTTGTTGCAAGTGCAGTTTGGCTCTATGCTGGTTTGTAGGACATGTTTGTTGCAAGAGTAATTTGGCTCTATGCTTGTTGTGTAGGACATGTTTGTTGCAAGAGCAGTTTGGCTCTTTACTGGTTGTGTAGGACATGTTGGTTGTAAGAGCAGTTTGGCACTATGCTTGTTGTGTAGGACATGTGTGTTGCAAGAGCAATTTGGCTCTATGCTGGTTGTGTAGGACATGTTTGTTGCAAATGCATTTTGGCTCTATGCTGGTTGTGTACAAGAGCAATTTGGCTCTATGCTGGTTTTGTAGGACATGATTGTTGCAAGTGCAGTTTGGCTCTATGCTGGTTTGTAGGACATATGTGTTGCAAGTGTAGTTTGACTCTATGCTGGTTGCGTAGGACATGTTTGTTACAAGAGCAATTTGGCTCTATGCTTGTTGTGTAGGACATGTTTGTTGCAAGAGCAGTTTGGCTCTATGCTGGTTTTGTAGGACATGTTTGTTGCAAGAGTAATTTGGCTCTATGCTGGTTTTGTAGGACATGTTTGTTGCAAGAGCAATTTGGCTCTATGCTGGTTTGTAGGACATGTTTGTTGAAATGACAATTCGGCACTATGCTTGTTTTGTAGTACATGTTTGTTGCAAGAGCAATTTGGCTCTATGCTGGTTTTGTAGGACATGTTTGTTGCAAGAGCAATTTGGCCCTATGCTGGTTGTGTAGGACATGTGTGTTGCAAGAGCAGTTTGGCTCTATGCTGGTTGTGTAGGACATGTTTGTTGCAAGTGTAGTTTGGCTCTATGCTGGTTTGTAGGACATGTTTGTTGCAAATGCAGTTTGGCTTTATGCTGGTTTTGTAGTACATGTTTGTTGCAAGAGCAATTTGGCACTATGCTGGTTTTGTAGGACATGTTTGTTGCAAGAGTAGTTTGACTGTATGCTGGAAGCTAGGGCAAGCCAATGCAATATGGCTTTATACAGGTAGTACATGTATAAAGGTCAGCCAAAAATGGTTTATACAAGGTAAAATCTGGCCTAACAGAATATACTAGGTAAAGTAAGGCCAAACAACATGTAGGTTAAATCAGGTCAAACAGTTAATTATACTTTGTAAAGTTTTTCAAAACAGTGAAATTAAGCCAAACAATACAACTGCATGTACATAAAATCAGGCCAAACATTTTATACTTGGTAAATTTTGCAAAACAGTTAATACTAGGTAAAATTAAGCTAAAAAAAAGTTTAAACTAGGTAAAACCAAACCAAACAGTTCATATTTGTTAAAATCTTGCAAAACCATTTATACTAGGAAAAAATAAGCCAAATAGTTTATACTAGGTAAAGTTAGGCCACGCAGATTATACTAGGTAACATTTTGCCACACCGTTTATACTTTGTTAAATCTTGTCACACAGTTCATTCTTTGCTGGTGAAATCAGGCCAAACAGCAAATGAGAACAGCATAACTTTATATGAAGAAACTTTTTTTACAATGATTGTGTACAAAAATAACTTTTTTATTAGTAACTGACTACATGATATATCAGATAAGCATTTAAAGATTTTTTTGTTGTTAGATTTTTTGCTGATTTATTTTTTTAAGAACTGTTAACAGCATGTAACCTGTCTTGTTTAAATGATAAACATGTCATAGATTTCTCAAGATTTGTGGTGAATGCAGGTAAACTTTTGTATCATTGGTATAACTTTTGTATCATTGGTATTTTCTTTTTAGTTAAAAGCCTAAAAGTTTAAAATTTGAATTTCTTACATAGATCGGCTGGGGCACTTAAAACAGAGAGATATACAAAAGATTATTAAGAAATATACATCCAGATAATTTATTTTTTGCTATTATAACTTAGCCTGATTTAAATCAGAAGTGTTTCAATGCTTTTCATTTTTGGGTCATTTTTCACAATCAGAATTATTCTAAAAAAAGGAGTGAACCAATGATCAGAAATTTTGCTCACAAGGTATTGATCTACACCTACATCAAATGGAACAAAACGATTATTTCCAGCCTCTTCATGTCAAAAAAACTTCAGTGGATTCACTTGGAGAAAATAGGAATGTTTCAAAGTTGTACAAGTTATTCATTGATGGTATACATTAATGTAAATTTCTCTTGTTACAGGTATGCCAGATGTTGGCAAACTTTTTCACTAATTGGTGTTTGATAGATCTGTTTGTTTTCTATAATTGTCTGCCCTTTGACAGATGCTCTTCATCAGGGAGGCAGATACTCCTCATGGAGAATATTTTCCACTTGAATTGAACCAATTATATTTCAATTTACAAATATGAAACAGATGAATTTAAATTTTCAAGGTTAAGCAAACAAGTTTTTTGTAGGTTCCTTGGTTATAGGAGTGTGAGAAGGTTTTTCATTCTCTTGGTTTTCTTTTTGTAAAAATTATTTGAAATTTTGGTTAGAAGCTAAAGTCTTAAGGAAGGATAATAGATTCTGCTTTGTTATTTTAATTCCTTTTATACCATGAAATATATCTTTTTATGTCTTTGTTACTTATTATTGTCTTTAGATTTGGAACTTTATTAATTGAATTGTAATAAGGAAGTTATGTTGAAGTAATAGACTATGTTATCCAAAACTAATAAGTAATACTAGTATAGGTTTTTCCTATCAAATCAAAAAGAAATGACTGTAGCACTCACAATAGAGTAATCAACAATTTACAGTTATTACACATATATACAATGTATTTACTAAGTTGTAACTGTAACCCATAAAACCCAAGGGTGGAGAGACAGACAAATTAACCATTAAGCCACTGCTCCCATTATATAGCTTTTAGATGATATAATAAACAAGGGAGGTAAATATTCCATATGCAAGTTTATCTTCTCAAGTCAGTTGTTTCCCCTTATATCAGTATGTGAAATAAACTAAACTAATGTTATGTAAGTAACTTAAATCTTTTCACTGGTCACTAATGTATCGCCTATCTCACCAGCATAGAGGCAGAACAGTTTGCAAATTAATAGTCTATCCAGTTTTAGAATATGATCTCAAAAGCCTGAAAGTAACAATGGTTACCTGGAAATTCAATGCCAGTCAAGTTTATTAAACAAATTTAGTATTGTAATGTTAAGGATGCCATTTTTAACTTGACTTTTTTTTTCGAAGATTTTAAGTTGTTGGTATAATTATATTACGGTATTATCAGTGATATAGTTGATATTTTTCTATTTATTTCAGACATCAGGCCAAGGTTCACCAGTACAGAATATTACCTGGACCAGATGGCAAGCTTCATGTACAGGTAAATCAGATGTTGTTGTTTTCCTTATAATGTCAAGCTTTTACTTAATGTATGGACTGCCATTTTATGATTGTTGAAGATAATTGTCAGAGCATTGTGATATCTGATTGAATTAAGATATAATATATCCAAAACAGTGATTTTATAGCTTAATAAAATCACTGTTTGGAGTATGGATGAGAGGAATTATATCATGAGGGCATAACCCCCGAGTGATATGACACACATCCGAAAGATAAACATATCTAATGGTTATGTCACATGTCTAAATATAGACGTCAACAGTGATTTAATTGCATAATAACACACACTTTCGTTCCTTCTATGTTCATAAGGGACAAATGGGGGTCGTCTACCATATACATGTATTTTGTTATGAACATGTGATTTGTTTAGATATTTTAAGTATGTGTACATGTACTTTAATGACATTGATATTGTCTTGTTTATGATAGGTCATAAGCTTAACTCAAGTGCGCATCTTTACCTAAAATAATGTGGGCTATGGTTTGACAGTACGAAAAAAAAAAAGTTTGTAAAATGGGTCAAACCGTTCATGCCAAATTAATTAGGCTAATTAAAGTTGAAAAGTGGGCGTCCACTTGTCAACAAAGACCACTGTGTCTTTTTACCTGTACTGGCCATTACTAACTAAAGAATAATATAATTATACATGTAGCCCCTATGACATGTAGTCAGAGACAGGAATTAATTTATGTACCGATGTTACCATGTTAACTAAAGAATATAATATAATTATAGTCAGAGACAGGAACCATACAGAGAGGGTACCAGGATCTGACAGAGCTGATAGCGGAGTACATAAAGAAGCAGGACCAGAATGGTTTAGCGTCTGCTTTGGTTCATCCGGTGCCACCAGAAAGGTCATCTGAGGACATGGATATATCCGGTATGTATCCCCTTCCCAACCCAACCAGGAAAATGGGGGACTTTCAAACATTTTAACAAGGCTATAGCTGTTTGGTGAACAGTTATATTGTAAACTTCTCTAAAATGCCCTGCCAGTGTGAGTAGGACATATTGGCAGGTATTTTGGTATCAGAACAGAACTGACACATTGACCTGTCAATATGTGGACAGACAGAAGGTAAAAACTAGGGCCGGGAATTTTATTCGAATATTCGAAACACTACCGAATATTCGAACATTGAAAAACGAATACGAATATTCGAAAAAAAAGAATGTCTAGAGATGGTAAGGTGCTACATATGACTACTGCACTATATTGAAGCCCCATGTAACTTTCTTAACTCTTATTAAGTCTTGTATTATCTTCTAGATTTGAAAACAGCTCTTTTTTCTGATTTTTTTGATAATTTAGAAAATGTTCTAAAAAGAAGATTATTATTGATAAACTAATAGTTAGTGTAAATTGTGTGGCATAAGCTGGCAGTTACATTTAGTTACTGTATAGTGGCTATAGCTTGTATTGTATAATGTGTTTAATTATGCAAAAAAGGCCATTGAGAAAAGATATGTTGAAATTAGCAGTAATGTAATCTGAATTATTTCAGATAGGTCTTTGCATATCAGATAGGTCTTTAAACTGTTAACACTGACCCTAGAAAACCCTTTGTGGCATTTTTTCACCATTATGAATGAAGTTGTAAAAAAGTGCAAAATTAAAATTTTGGTTTTTGTCATTTCTTTCTAAAAAATTAGTTGTATGAATTTTGAAACAAAAACAATTGACATACTGGCTGTCATCACAAACAGGAATATCTAGCTTGCAGGTAACTATTTAGCAGAAACTCAACAGGGCTTTATCATGGGTGTAAACAGTAACACCCCTCAAGTTAGATATTCTGGCCTGTATAATGGTAGAAGTTTCTTATGATTATGATATTTTTTTCTGTTTGTTCAGATGATGAAGATGATGATGATGATGACGATGATGAAGATTTTGAATGTCCACCACCGATGGTCAGTCCACCAGCAACACCAACAGAGAAGAAGAATGGTCATTCTGAGACAGCAGAAGTTGACCTTGCAAAAAACTTTGCCAAACTTGACCTACGCAAGTATGGAATTTTAGTCACATAATATTCCATTTAAAGAAATTTTATGAGAATATGACTTTTGTGTAACAATGTTAAACATTATTTAATTGCATCAATAAAGTATTTCTATATGGCAATGATTTAATCAATATTCTATCAACCAGCATCAATTTAAAAGGTTATTTATTTGTATCAAATAAGTGGTTGGCAGTTATTAAGTTTATTTTCTGCCAGCCCGCATCATTAATATCTTGCTAATGCTACCAGTATAGAGTTATACCAGCTGTCAAATCCCTTGCTGTTATTAACTGTTGTTTACTCTCTATAGTAATTTACAACAAACCCTCTAAAACTAATTATAAACATTTCTAAACTGAAAAATCAAACTTGTATATTATACAAATGTAGGGATAATGGTTGAAGATTGTACACAAACACAATTTGATTACAAATACCTAAACAAACATCCTTTAGCCATATCTCATGTGTTACAAGTACTGATTAGTTCCAGGAAGCTGAAATCATTGTAGATTATATCAGCTTAAAGTTTTCATCACAATAAAACAAAAATGAAATTGCTTGAACTAAAAATAAGTTAATCTTTCACTGGGTGTTACAATACTGCTGGTGTTATTAAGAAGTAGAAATTCTGTCTAAAAAGAGAGGTCACAAGTTTGAGTAGGTTATATCAAACACTTTTGTCATTAAGGGCCATAGTTGTGAAAGACTTTTCTTGGACTATAGTGCTCCTTTTTATAAGGCAAAGAAGGAAAGTTTAACTAGTGAAAAAAAAAGTCTTAAACTTTACATGTTTAAACTTAAAGAGAATCATGATTGAAGTAATTTGATGGAATTTGGGGTGTGGGGGAGGGGTGGGTTAATTTCCTCCTTTAGTAATTTATCATTCTTAAACTTCACATGATTAAACTTGAAGAGAATCTTGATTGAAATAAATTGATGAAATTTTGGAGGGGGGTGTTTGGGAGGTGGTCAACTTCCTCCTTTAGTAATTCATCTGCCCCATGACAATGTGTTTGATGCTCATTTTGGTAATTTGTAATGGCCTATAACTCAAAACTGTGGCAAGCAGCACTTCATTTGATTTCAACTTTGTATTTACATGTACATGATTAGTTCTTCCCTGTACTGGAGCAAAATTTGGTGATATTTTAAGCAACAGATTTATTCTAGAATATAGGACAAATGCTTAAGCTACATTATAGAAATGATAGATATTTTCTTTGACTTATCCCCTTTTTTGGATAAAAATTATAATACACAAATATCATGTAGTATAATTACTCATTGAAGTATAGCAAATACATTTTAGATAACATTGTTTTTAACTTTGAATAATGACTGAAAATGAAATATAACAAAAACTATTTATATTTATATTCACAGTCTTGATGTTGAGTTTACAACAGCTTTAAAGGAGTATGTGGATCAAGGTTACAAGAAAGATTCAGTATCAATGAATGTTGGAGATTCTGAACTTCATGAGTTCACTAATGTACTAGAAGTTGCTTCTAGTGGTCTGAAAAGGTATGTGTTTCTTTTTCTTTATTTTTATAAAGATTTGGTCAGGTTTAAAGTTACACAGCCACTTTAAAGGTCGTCTGACAATTTTGCTGCTTTTTCTGATGAAGGAAGACCTGAGAGCATTATTTCATGATAGGGATGGCTGGTTTGATAAAATCACCAATCTGGAGAGTCCTTTACCGACCTTACCAAGCCAGCTAAAATACTTGCTTACATTAGATAATTCATTGTCCATGTTGCAAATTAAAGCCCCAGTAATGAGGAACTCAGTATCTATTCTACCAACAAAACACTTGTAATGACTTAAACCTTTGAAGACTTGCCAGTCTGGCAAATTTATGCCAACAGGAAACTCTATGTCAAGTCTGTTCTCTGTAGAACCACTAGACTCTATGCAAATGGCATGGAAAAACAAACAAAAAACAGCAAAAAAAGGAAAACATACCAAAGTAAATATAAATGATAATGAAAATTAAAGGAATCGGACATTTAATGTATAACAAAGGTGATATAAATCAAAAACTTTCATTATTAGTTGTATTCTGTCATAAAATTTCTGTCTCTAATGCTCTCTTTCAGTCTTTCATAAGTTTTTCTTGTATATCGCTGTTGTAAATGTTTTTATGCTGTTTAATTTTACAAGGGAGCTTGACAGTTTTATGAAGAAAATGAGCGTACTAAATGAATTTTTGAAGTTTGATCGACAGAAGCATTCAACACTGGACTCAAAATACAAGGTAATGTTACCTTTGATACTTAACTAGGCATGTGCGTATTTTACATGAAAAAACAGCCTGGCATTGATACTCAGATATCTGGTATATTTTTATTTTGAACTAGTGAAACCAATTTTCTGTGTTGGTACAAAAAGCAGCATCATTTTTTCTTCACTGCCATATTTCATTACTAATTCCTGTTGGTGGTTGGTAACCTGGTTTTCATTGCAATGCCCTAAATTCATCCCTGCCCCATCTGTTTATGCCACAAAGTCTGTGGAGATTTTCTTTAAAAAGAAAACAACTGGTTATTTGTTAACATACGAGAAAGTTTAGTGTATCTGCCAAATTTCTTCAACTTTAAACACTTTGTTTATTAGATGATAAAGTATAATAAATGGATATGGTAATGGTAACAAATCATGGCCACTTATGGATATATATGTGCTTTGAGCTGATTGAAATAGGTAAAATGTTATGTATATACTGGTTTTAGAGATAACTAAATCACATATTTAAAATATAGAACCACCTAAACAAAATTCTGTTCAAAGACTTTAGGATTCACAAATTATTTATTAAAATGGAGACTGGAACTTTTTTAAGATCCTGAAAGAGGTATACAAAACATGGTCTTTTTACCCCTTAACAGTAGATGAAGTCAGCACTTAAATTTTTTAAGTAGAAAATTACTGGAAAATTGACCATGTTAAAACAATAATATTTATCAAGTGTCAGGGTTATCTATGTGTTGGAGTTATCTCGCCAACCAGTTTGACACCTTTAAAGGTCATAAAACGACCGTAACCTTAACATTATATGAAGTTATGCTGAATTGTTAGTGTAGAAGGAAGATCAGAATGTCTACAGACTTTGGGTGTTCAAGTTTTGAATAACATTTCCATCCTATGTAATGTGTAATTTATGCATGGAAGTCAGTAGGAACTTAAAAAATAAGAGGGATAAGCCCATTGGGTTAAAAAGGTTCATAAACTTGCTACACCTTCTTCCTGAAAAATTAAAGTTATGAAAACAATGTTTGTTTTTTTGATGCAGCTACATGTGGGTACTTTACAGTTTACTGTATTTTTAACCCAGTTGTCCTAGAAAATACTCCCTAACTTTGTAAAAGCACTAACCACTGTCTGACAAATAATTCATTAAAGTTTGTTTCAGGATTTTTATATTTTAATCCCCTGTCATATGTCAAAATATTGATTTTATTATCGTACCCATGTCAAATTCTCATCAATGGGTATCTACATGTATCTTTTATCACATATAATCTTCTTTTGATGTACATTGTGTAAATATGTGATAATAAGGAAACACATGCAGGTAGATTGTGTAGAAAGTGTTAAACTGTTTAACGTGTTATCAATAAATGATACATATCTTTATCCATCAATGGTTAGTGAGAAATGTCCTATTATCATGATATTGGGAAGTGACCCTTATAGCTACAAGACAGGCAAAAATAACACCATCATTGCTGTACATAATGACATGTTGTTAATAGTTGTTACTATCAGATAAAATTAATCAATAAAATTATTTAAACAATATACCTTTATGAAACTAATAGGGTTTTTATGTAATAATAGATGTGTAACTATTGTGTTAGATTATTATCAGTGTTTAATTGTTGATTTTAGTAGATAAAAGGAAAAGATAACATTATTATGTTTTATGGTATCTAATTTTTTTAGACACAATAAGGACATGAAAATGTAGTTTCTGTTGTTAACTCATGGAAAATATTTTGTGTAGATTAAGTTTGAATATTTTATTTAAAACAATCAATCATATTAGCTTGGTCAATAATTTTCTTCTCTTAGTGAAAACTAAAGGCAGGATGTAAAATTCACTGGTTTGACATGCTATAATTTTATAATAATGAAAGTTCAATATAAAACTTAACAAAAATATGTTCAGTGTATTTCTATATTAAATTATTTAAATAAACAGTTGAATAACAAAAGATCAATATTCTTTCATGTAAGGGAAAATATTATATGTTAGAAAAATATACTAATTTAGAAATAATTTCAATTTTAATTGCAGTTACTGTCATTTGTTTGTTGTCTTAGAAATGTAGTATTAATAATTCACTGTTGTTCCTAATAGGTGTTGAATAAGAAAAAACATATTGGAAATTTTATATTTTTATGAAGTTTTGAACCCAAGGAGAGACAAACTGTAAAGGAATTACAATATTAGGTTGATATTTTCTCATTTCTGATAAACGTATTTGTTATACACTTCATTTATAATCAATAAATCAATTTACATCATCATAGTGAAGTTACCCGGCAAGTTTAATGTATGAATGTTAAAACATTTAAAACCTCTTAGAAAATAAATTTTCCTGTACACACAGTGTGATAGCTGTGAAATATAATCAACAAAATGATATTCTCCGTTGCTAAAGTGATGTGCTTATATCTGCAATGTTTATAGATTTTACTTGCATAAACTATCAATACGAATAGATGTTTTGAAGAAACAATCATTGATAAAGTCTTGTGTCGCAGACATTAGTGAAACATATCTGATTTTCTGGATTATTGTGAAAATGCTATTTCTCGTGAATAAGGAAAGAAAGAAAAACGAAGTGGTGGAAGTGGTAAATTTAAAATATGAAAATTGATAATTTTTGAAAGTGATGAAGGAGTTGTATATAAATTGAAGGACATATGAGTTAGAGAGGAGACAAGGTGGTAGAGACGGAATAAATATAAAAATGAAGAAATTTTTACCTAAACAGGGGTCATATGATGTAAGGAAATTATGTTCACATAAATTTATTATTATATTTATTATTATTATTATATTTTATTATAATTAGTTATTATCATTATTATTCTTACTATTATTATTATTATTATTATAAAATAACATGCAATAGATAATACATATAATATAAAATGATAAAATACAGGAAAATATAGAGGTTATTTTCCTGGAATTAAGGGTAATGATTTCAACTGTGTGTGAATTGATCATATACTTGTAAATCTACGTACCAGGTACATGTTGATTTAATTTCATCCTTTATGCACAAATATATATATTTAGATTGTATCTATCATACAAATGTAAATTTCAAATTGTATCATATAGATTATTGTACAATGCTGATATAAAATTATCCACCATAAACTTGTCTATTTTAATTGATTCTGCCATGTACATGTTCATTTATTTGTGATTGCCATGTAAATGTTGATTTATTTGTGATCGCCATGTACATGTTGATTTATTTGTGATTGCCATTAACATGTTGATTTATTTGTGATTGCCATGTACATGTTCATTTATTTGTGATTGCCATTTACATGTTGATTTATTTGTGATTGCCATGTACATGTTGATTTATTTGTGATTGCCATGTACATGTTGATTTATTTGTGATTGCCATGTACATGTTGATTTATTTGTGATTGCCATGTACATGTTGCTTTATTTGTGATTGCCATGTACATGTTGCTTTATTTGTGATTGCCATGTACATGTTGATTTATTTGTGATTGCCATTTACATGTTGATTTATTTGTGATTGCCATGTACATGTTCATTTATTTGTGATTGCCATGTACATGTTGATTTATTTGTGATTGCCATGTACATGTTGATTTATTTGTGATTGCCATGTACATGTTGATTTATTTGTGATTGCCATGTACATGTTGATTTATTTGTGATTGCCATGTACATGATGATTTATTTCTGATTGATTGCCATGTACATGTTCATTTATTTGTGATTGCCATGTACATGTTGATTTAAATGTGTCTGCCATGTATATGTATATATGATTGACTCTACCATGAAGATGTGATAAAGTTGCAAACAAAATGCAGACTTCAATACCAAAATACTAAAATCACATTACTGTACTAATAACTATAAAGCAACAGAAAGAAAAGGAATGATTCATGTTATTTGACAGTGAATAACTTTTTGAAATTATAACAGGACACTTAAGTTAAAAAGTTTCTGAAAAATGAAAATAAAAGCATTTCTGGGGAATAATGGCCCTTCAAGGGAAATACCTGGCCTTTAAAGATATAATCTACCATGTTCATGAGTCAATATATGGTTGTACATAGATTAAGATTGGAGCATATCTTTCTACAACTTTGTATTGCAATCTGTGTCAAGTTACACATTTAGTATTATTCAATACTAAATGTATTGAACTTGTTAAATAGATTTAGTATTAAACCTACAATCATTCAATTTCCTCTATTTATAAAACTGTGTAATAAACAATGTATAACATTGTACCTCTATACATGAACTGTACAATGGTAAAAGATTTACTCGGAATCTAACACTGTATGATTATAAGAATAGATGGTTTTATATAGATATTTGATATGTTATTGTAGGTGACTGGTGCAGGATTACCTAACCTTCTAGAACAATTATCAAGGGTCAGAACTGAAGTTCTCAATATACAAACAAAGGTTTGTACAGAGTTTATATACAGAATTTATATTAGTTTCGAATATGTATGAAGTTATAAGCTTATAGACACACTTTAAAATCCAAATCCATTCCTGGAACCAACTAGTATTGAGCAATAAGTGTAAAGTTTCTTGCTCAGTGAAACAATGACTTGCCCTGGCAATCATTATAATACTAGTCTGAATACGTGTTAACCACTTGGCCATGCCAAGTACAGATTTTGATTAACTTAAAAAGGTAACTTAAAAAGGTAAAAAGTAAATGTAATGAAATATTTTATAAAAAAAACTACGAATGGTAAAATAAATTGTATTGTTTTTTGAACTTTGTGGTTAATTTTTGATAGAATTGTAACATGAAATGTGTATTATTTAACACTCATGAATTTTTGCATGAACAGGGTTTTAACAGATTAGAAAAGATTTTGTGCTTTTAGGGTTTTAGGCATTATTCTTTTTCAAAATTCAATCTTTGATTTTGTAAACTACAGGTATCAGAAATATAGATTTATACACTTTTTGTATAGGTACAAAATTCAGGCATATACTGACAGAGTAGGTAGGCCTATGTCATACAGATAATGAGATTTTTCCTACTTTGTAAAATGATGAGACAACTAGATATTTGTGTGGCTCTTGGTCATTATTTTGGACATTTCCCTGATTTTCATAAATCATGGAGAGGGGAAATTTTAATTTTCACAAGCTCAAGTTTAAAGTTAACTGTTTAATTTATAACAAAATTGTCATTTTCAGGCACAGGAAACAATTCAGCTTGCGTCACTACCATCAGACTATGAATATCTAGATCCACCTGATGGTGTGTACTGTGAAAGTGGGATAACAAGTGGCCCCTTCCTTGCTTCTACTTACAGACCTTACATTCCACAGAGTAAATTTGAGGTAACTTTTATAATTGTAGAACATTTATTATTCTCAATTTCTGTTTTTAGTGTTGATTTTTTTAATGATTTTATGTTAAACTTTTATGTTCAGTACTTCAACATATGTTGTGAAATTTTCTTAACATATTAAGTAGCAAAAATCTGGAAAAGGGGAGATTACTTGTGAACAATAAATACAAAGTTTAAAAGTTAAAATTGCAGACTTTGTTTAATGAGTCTATTAATGGGAGATAATGTAAAGTGCAACATCTCTCATGCCACTTGGCACAAGCTTAAGCTGTATTTTTCAAACAGTTAACTTGTTGGTGCCCTATGATGTTCACTGTGTTGGTGAAAAAAAAAACATTATTCAAACTGTTGCTTTACCAAGTCATATGCTTATTGATTCCTTTATTATAGCTTTCTAGCTACTGTGCTAGTTGGCAGTTTCATCTAGTAAAGGTCAAGTTAAAACCAGGCCATAAAAAAATCATGTATAAAATAAAAACAGTACATGAAAAATCAGATTTGTCTCAGATTAACAATATAAATGTAGTTATCATGGCTATAGCATTTATCCGTGCATACATTTACGCAAGCTGATTTTTGAGCTTCACTTAATGCTTATGCAATCTATCAGGGCCTTTAATTATGCTTATAAATTAATTAAGGCTTTTTATTATGATGTTTTAATTTTATCATGGCCTAAGGCTTTGCTTGCTTGCTTTGCTAAAGTTTTTTTTTATCTTTTTTCATTTCTTCTTCTTTATCAATTTTTTGCCCTAATTTTCTACTACAAATGTTTTCACTTTACTGCATGTGATATGTCTAAAGTAGATAAAATATTTTATCTTTACTAGGTTAAAAAGGTGAAACATGGAAAACAGACAAAACTTACACTAACAGTGGACTTACAGAATGGTAAATACTCAATACTGAAACAGACAGGGAAAGAAAGTCTAGGAACAGACACTATATCTCATGAAAGAAGTAAGTTATAACTTCACATACCAATGTTTGTTTAATGTTATACATACATGATAACATTGCAGAATACATATTTCAATCTAGTAATAACTAGTTATCAATTTTTACTGAATATTTCATTGTAAGTTCTGACTAAAGAATAGTAGACATTGTACATGGCCTGGCTGCTCTAGTTGCATGGTTAGATTCAGCTGCTGGTTCTACTTGTGTCTGGAATATTACATGGAAAGACTCATGAGGTCTTCCTACACCATTATAACAATCTCTCTAAATGTCAGTTACACTTTAATTAAAACTCAATGGAAAAGAATACAGACAAATATGGTAGATGTTATATGACCAGGAGTCTTAACAAAAAGTCTTTTGAACTGAGATATTTTATTTTAAAGGATTTAAATATTTCAGGAATTAAAAATTACATTGAAAATTTCTGGTATTTTGAATTTTGTAATTTATGTAAGGATTTGATTCATACATGACAAACAACACTTGTGACCAAACGGATATGTGGAATAATTTAGATATGACCTTGACCCTAAAATGACCTTGACCGTCAAGGGCAAATTATTGAATTTTGATTTTAATTTTTTTAACTTTGTCATTATTTACGGAAAGGATTCAAAATTGGACAAAATTACAAGTGTGACTAAACAGACCCAACAACTAAAAAAGACCTTTATTCTTTTTCTTTATATTTCTTTTTGAAGATTTATATTAACCGTTTGCTCTTAGAAAGAGAAAAAAAGTTGAGTGTTGTGCCCGCCAGGCGGTGGCTCTTGTTTTAATTGTGTAGGGAAGTAAGATTAAACTGTAATTGTAAAGAATATATAATGACCTGAAAATTGAAACTGGTATGAAAACAATGCTTATATTCTGTGTATATGTTATTTTCCTTTCATAAGTAGCTGTCTCTTTGAATTTTGATTTCTCAAAAATTATTACCACATATGACAGACATTTGACTATTGTCATTAATTGTTTCATTGTATGAGTTTAAACCAATAGGAAATTGATACTGTGTAATTTTAACCACTATTACTCTTTCTCCTTGTGTTTTCCCTGTCCATTGATTGCTTTCACTTCTGACATTTTGAAATTATAAAAATGATTACAAACTATTTTTGTTTCCTATAGAATTTCACAGACTAAGCTTTAACATTTCTTAAGTTATATTGTATGTTTTACAATATAGTCAAGGATGAAAATATCTGTTTATATTAGATTTGGTCTTGAAAAAAAAATCGGAAGAAATAACATTTTGTCCAATTTTCAGCACAAAGTGAAATTTTGCCTTACTTAAAAAAATCAGAAAGATTCAATTTTAATATGATAATATATATTAATATTTATAAGTTACATAAATTAATCTAGCTATTTTGATAAATTATAGCAGTGGCCTTCATGATTTGAGAGGTCATTGTTACTGGCTTTGTATCAGTTGCCTCTCACCCCCCCCCCCCCCCCCCTTATGGATGTACTGAATCATCATAATTGTACAGAATCACCACTTGTAACCATATTAACTATTGTACTGAATCAACATTTGCCCTCAAAAATGAGAAATAAAGTAAAATAAGTCCTAAGGCAAATGGGCCGCACATTACATTTTATCATTTTGGGGCTGAAATCCTTCACTTTAACAAGAGATTATTCAGAATTTAAAGCTGGACAAATCCATTACACACATAAAGTTGGCCAAATGGTCAAACATTTATTAAATGTACTCTTAAAGTATGATATATTCAGCCATGTAACAAAAAGTTAACAAATCCATAAATTTATTGTCATTTCAAAAATTGGAAAACAAAGATGTATTGATTTATCTAGCACTGTAATATAGATAATGTATCATTTCAGTACTCCACTTGATTAAATGCACGAAAGACAAATGTATTTTGGATGTCATTTTGGATGGAAAGAAGAAACAGAATTATATCTTTGCCGACCCCCATGCACGAGAAAATTTCTGCCTTCAAATACGTCAGATGAAAAACATGCATTCAACTGAGACAGAAATAGATCAAATCTCTGTATTTATTGGTACATGGAACATGGGTAAGTAGGTCATCGTCAAGGCAACAATTTTGAGAACAGTTTAATGCTATAGTTTGTCAGTAGACAGATTTTCATGGTAACAAAATGAAGGTTTATCTTAAATTTTGGATTATCTTATTATATTTGAGTTTACCGATTGTCAACTAATCATGAAGTCAATGATTTGATGCGTTCTTACATAGAAATAAAACTTTCAGAGATATTTAAAAGAAAATATATTTATAGACTAACTAACTCATTATGTACTAGTAAATAAATTAGCTTAATATCATATGTATTGAAATGAAATTAGGGCGCAACTGTCATATAAGGCCAATAACCACAAATATAATAATATGGCAGATAAATATTGAAAGATGTTAAGATAATGCCACCTATAAATTTTTCAGTAATGAGTAGATAATTGTTTTGATATATCACAGGAGATGCATCTTTAAACCAGAGTTTGAGCACATGGTTGAAATGTACAGGGGCAGGTAAATGTAGAGACAGGGTTCTAGGAGTTATCCCCCATGATATGTATGTGGTAGGCACACAGGAGAGTTCCATGACAGAAAAAGATTGGGTTAACACACTGAAAGCTGGCCTTAAAGGTAACCTTATTTTGGTTTCAATTGATTAAAAAATTGTTCAACAGTAGTTCAGTCTTATACTGGCAGGCAGATATCTAATAAGTGTACTTCTATTATGTACCAGTAACTGCCAACGTCTCTATATTGTTTATTTGAAATAGAGATTTAATATGATAAACATTAGAGAACAAACCATCAAGATAAAACATGAGCCATGTATAGGATATTGTTAATATGATGTTAGTTTACTTTGATGGGAAAAGACTACATGTACCACTTTGTACATTATTTCAAGCAGGGATAGAAAATTTTCTTCTGTAATACTGTAAGATGGCAAGTAAGAATTACCTTACTAACAGAGCAGAGAGAAGGTGTAAGACATTTAAAATCAACTACCTTTAACACTATGTATTTGTCATGTAGAGGACATTTGTTGTAATATTAAACATGTTGAAACATTCATTACTGTCTTATTTCAGCATGTGTATTGGTAGACATGGAACTAGTAGAAGTGTGTACATTATGGGGCATCAGGATAGCAATTCTTGTTAAACCAGAATATAAACATTGTATTAGCAGGATACAAAGATCATCTGTCAGGACAGGCATCGCCAATGCTTTAGGTATGTTAGGACAGGCATAGTAAATTTTAATATCATAATTATGTCCTAAAGTTATGTTAGGACATGATTGTAGGTCCTATGTTAGGACAAAGACTTAGTGTGTCAGGACAAGTATAATAAATATTGCATATCCTATGTTTATTTTAGGACATGTAATGTAAAGGCTGTCAGCTTGTTAGGACATACTTTGAGTAAATAAGGCTTAATGAAAATAGTTATAATGATAATATAATTAGATATAGTAGTAAAATAATTATATAATTGTATTTAAAAAAACATATTTATATATGATTTTCCTATTCACCTAGTCACAAAACTAATTGAAAAACATACTTACACTAATTACATTATAACCTCTGCCAAACAACATCCTTTGCTAGACAAATATTTTGGTTAATGCTTAGAGTTGTTGCTGTACAGAGTTAAAATATAGTGGAAGAAATAATACTGTTGTTGTAAAGAGTTAGTTGCTATACATAGGTTCTGTCTGTGGAGACGATACTGTAGGAAATTGATAATCACTGACAAATGTCAATTTACAACAAATATTCCTGATGTTATAGCTTGTATATTATATAACGGTTATATTGGTTTTAAATTTTATCCTTACAGTGTTGCTATAGTAATATTACTGATATAGATGTCTGATTTAATATCAAATATAATGGCACAGGTGAATCAAATATATGTTACATTCCAGTCTTATTTGCTTTCTATTTGTGTTGGATTCTACAGTATATGATATACATCTACATGAATACTGCACTAGTGAAAGCACTTTATAGTGAACTTTGTATACATCTCTGTAAATGTACGATGCTCCATAAACATGTTAAGTACTCAATATACTTGTACTGTGCTCTTTATAGATATACTTTGCTTTATATACTCTTACAGTGCTCCATATACATGTTCATTTCCCAGTATACCTGTACAATGTACTATGTAATTTTACAATGCTCTATGTATAATGTTCTATATGCATGTACACTGGTGTTTGTACATGCTCAGTGCTCTGTATACATAAACAATGCTCTATAATGAACAATTATCTATATATTTTTTCAGTACTTAGTATATATGTGCAGTGATCTATGTATTTTTACAGTGCTCTATGTTCAGTGCTCTACATGTATATACACTGGTCTATGTACATGTTCAGTGCTCTACATGTATGCACAGTAGTCTATGTACATGTTCAGTACTCTACATGTATGTACACTGGTCTATGTACATGTTCAGTGCTCTACATGTATGCACAGTACGGTAATCTGTGTACATGTTTAGTGCTTTATTACATGTAAAGTGCTCTATACACATCTACACTGCTCTATACACATGTACACTGCTCTATACACATGTACAGTACTCTATACATTTGTAAAATGCTCTTTATTTATGCGTCACAGGGTGAGAAAAATGTGCAGCCTGGCATGGAATCGAACCTGGGACCCTCGGAAAACTGTTCCTCAGCCTTTCCGGCTAAAATCTCCGACTGTTGCACACTATCTCCTTAGTGAAAGTTCAATGTGTAATACTTGTGTGATGCAGGATCATACTGATATAACCATATAATGTCTTTCTTTCCTATATAAGCATAAGCAATGTTTCTATTGTGGTGCAGAGTAAATAGCAATATTCCATTTATTTCATCTTTATCCACCAAAACAATACAGTCAAACGTGTATTAAGCGACCGGGCAAGGGAAATACCCAAAACGGTCGCTTAATGAAACGGTCTCTTAAGACAGTCAGCATGATATAAAAGTCAAAATTTTAAAAAATGACATCTTTTTTATTCGGTTGGATTGTTTTTCAACTTCATTTTTATATCTCTGTTGAAAAAAAGTACGCTCCGATAATCTAAATGGATGCAAATGTAAAAAATAACTTTCTGATATTTATTGACAAAACAGCTTCAAGATCCATTACGTACATGTTTGACATTTTTTCCAGAATGTTTTAACTTCTCCGTTGTTTTTCCTTGTCTCCAACACGAAAACCCTATTAGTGAAGATGTTTTCTGTTGTGCATTTTTTTTCATTTGAAATAAACAAACTACAGTACATCTATTTGTTACGATTAATTTAATGGCTGATCAAGTTCAAGGTCAATTCAATGCAGTCTAAATGTCAACAAGCGAAGCGTATACACCATCTCAGTATGGGCGGAGCCTTACATTGTTTATCCGATATTATTGGATAATACACGTCACGCGTATACTTAACTTCATTTGCATACGCTAAAACGGTATGGGAAATAGAGTTTTTCACACGTTTATTGTTGTGTTTTGATTGTTGACACTTGTGACATAACGAGGTGGCGTTCTCTATAAACACAATTACTTGACAGGTAAAAGTGGTCATTTAATGAAAAGATTGATGTCAATTAGGTGACTAATTAGCGGTCGCTGGTCGCGTTGAGCAAAAGTCGCTTAATACATTAAAGATATAGAGAGAAAATGATCGGGGGGAATTTAAAGTGGTCGTTTAAGACATAAGTCGCTTAATACACGTGGTCGCATGGGCAAGTTAGACTGTATTAAAATAAGATGGAAATTTGAATTACTTAAAGTGACAACAATTTATTTCTGTCGCTAGGTAACAAGGGAGCAGTTGCAATATCGTTCTATTTCAATGGCTCATCTTTCTGTTTCATCAACGCCCATTTGACATCTGGTGATGAAAGATGCAACAGGTTTGACCTAGTTTTATATCATCTAGCTTTAGATAACCTTCTTTTATAAGACCTGATTTTATAAGACCTAATTATATAGGACCTAGTTTTAAAAGACCTGGTTTTACTCTACAGGTAACATTGTTTGCCAAAATATCCGGGAAATTTGTCAGAAATGTTGTTTGGATGATTTCTAGCTCAAGACTGAGTATGCTTCATCTGGGGTTAAAGACTAGGGAACACAGCTCAAATTGTGAAAAGTCTTGTTAACACTCTAGGCAATATTTTCAGCCCAAATATTATGGAAATTTGTCAGAAAGGTTGTAATGTTGATTTTAAGCTCAACATTGAATATGGTTTATCTAGAGTCAAAAAATAGGCCACAAAGTCCAATATAGAATAAAACCTTGTTAAATGTAATATTTTCAGCCCAAATATCCTGGAAGTTTGTCAGCAAGGTTGTTATGTTGATTTCTAGCTCAACTTTGATTATGGGTCTTCTTGGGTCAAAAACTAGGAGACAGAGCCCAAATATGGAAAAACCTTGTTTACATTTGCATTATTTCAGATGTTGATATGAATGTTTGTTTAGGATTAAGACATTATATCTGCTTTTGATTCATAGTTAACATAATTGATTGAACCTTGTCATGAAGAGTCTTCATAACCAGGTGAGTGATATAAGGCCCATCATGACCCTCTTGTGACGGTAAATAAAGCATGACTAGGATAATTTTATCCACCTACATTTGGAAAGTCAGAATTCTAAATTGTTTTTGATCAACTAACAAACAATTTCTTATAAGCATTTTGTATTTGATTTATTATTTCAGGAGAAATCAAAATTACCGTGATATAATGAAGAACTTGACAATAAATCTAGGTCAGAAACACCTAAATTTGTTTGATATTACCAGTCAGTTTCACCATGTGTTTTGGTTGGGAGATCTAAATTACAGAGTGGAAGAAGATATTCAGGTGAGTTCTTTGGCTACTTTGCTGAAAATAGTACTTGTTGAAAGTCCAACCCCTCACAGTGATTACCTCCCTTTGCAGATTGTAATCACTGCCTTTGCAGACGTCACATGATGATGAAAGTCACATGAAGTAATGTCAAAATTCAAATGTAAATATCAACCATAACATAGAAAATCTAAAGCTATTTTTCTCTTTCTGTTTTATCTTAACTTTTTGTACCTACATTCTTATAGTTTATTAAAAAATTATCAAAATTGTACAAAATAATGAAAAATAAATTCAAAAGCTAAAAAATATCAAAATATTGATAAAAATGTTTGTGATGGCAGAGATCTCTGTACTGATAAGGGGAGATCACTGCATAGGAGATTGGTTTAAAGTAATGCCAATGTTTGTAAATTTCAATTACAGAGCAGATGGTGTCCTTGTTTGGTTTCTCTGCACAACATTCTCCCTTACACTGTATAGAATACTGTAGACTAGTATAATAAGATAATACAATTTCTGATGGTGAATTTAGGTCAGTTTCATCTGGATACACAATGACATGTTGCAATTTTACATTTTTTGTAGGTTTTTACAAAATCTGAAAGGTTGTATCCTTTATGGTTCCAAATTCTCAAATTACAAGATTCATTTATGATTGTGCCATTTATTACAGGTGTTATTACACAAAGTTCAGGAAAAAGACATCAACTATTTGATGGAGAAAGACCAGTTAAAAAGACTTCAGAGTCAGAAAGCTGCATTTTGTGGCTTCCGTAAGTCATCATTTATGTGACATGTCATACAGTGTGATAAAATATTTCAATGTTAATATTTTGACTTCTCCCTTCTCCAATGTATCATGATTTAAAAGTAAAAACAACAAAAATATTATGTCGTTACTGTATAAAATGAATGAAATGTGATTTTCTCATTGGATAAAATGTCATACATCTTTTCATATCATATGTGATGCAGATATTTTAGACAATTTGAAGTGCGTTTTCACAATTTATCCCCAACTTATTTGTATCCAGTATTTTTATCATAGGGTTTTTGCATACTCCAAGATTCAAGTCATGTTTATGTTATTATTTCCAAATTCAGACATATTTTAAGTTGCCATCATTTTCACATTTAAATAAACTCATAATTATTTTCTAATTCACATATTGATATGTCCACTTATTTTCAATTTCAGTTTACATGTTTGTATTTTCACAATGATATGTGTTCATGCTTTTTACAATTACTCATATATGAAAATATTTATTTTGACTTTTAAATATTTTCACATTTTTTCACATATTTTCTCATTTTTTTCACTTATTTTCACATATTTAAGTGTATTTGTTTGTAGAAGAATCAGAGATCACATTCCTTCCTACATATCGTTTAGAGAGAAATATTCCTGGATATAGATATGCTTGGAGAAAAGTCAAGAAAACAGGGGTATGATGTACCTATATCTAACAATTCTTGTCATTTAAGTTGAAATTTTTATCGATGTATAGAAAAATATAGACATGTCTGAAAATCGACATGACATGATGTGAGAATTACTGAGACATAATATGATATCTTGTCTACTTCTACACAGATATAGGTGTAATGTAATCAAATAATCTAAAAGAAATCTAGAACCAGCAAGCCAAACAAACTAACAAACAAACATATAAACAAACAAACAAACAAGGCACAAAATAAAGAACTAAAATTTTCAAATTCAAATCAGGAACTGTTAGAAATATGTTTTTTTATTAAGGGTTGAATATGTATTCTGTTTGATGTGTATATTTTCAGGAGAGAATAAATGCTCCCTCATGGTGTGATAGGGTACTATGGAAATCATATCCTGGTGTATTTATAGAAAATGTTGCATATGGTATGATAATTATGCTATTCAGATATTTCTTTGGTCTCAAAAATACTATTGTTTGTCTTATGACACATAATACTGACCATAGTTTAATGGCCTTTAATTAAATTAAGAACATGCCACACCAATAAACAGTGCAAAAAATATTTTTAAAATGTTTCCTTTCAGTATTTATTTGTTTCAGAGATTTTACTCTTGGCATACTTTTTAACATAAATCTATACACAGAAACAATAAAATTTCTATTTACATTGTAAAAGTTTTGACAATTTGTTTCCAGGCTGCTCAGAGGCTATATTAAGCAGTGATCACAGACCTGTTTTCTCCTCATTTAATGTGGGTATATCCTCAGAATTTGTACAGGCACGTGGTTCGCTAGCTGAGCTAGCTCCAGTAAAAATTATCTTTCATTCCATAGAGGCACAGGTGAGACTGATAATTAAATATTTACATAAAAATATGTGTCAAGATATTTATAATTTGACAAACTTCCCCAGATTTGAGACATTAATATATAAGTTGTAGACATTAATATTTTGACTCTCTCAGCTGTTATATTTGATTCTGTGGGGAAAATTACATTCTTTTAATTGTGTGGGTAGATTAATGCGAACTACACATATATTTATATCTATATATCAGGTTCCTGGTGTCTTAATACATCAATTTAACAATTAAGTTGCTTATCAACTTTCTCAGTGTTGATTAGATTGTAAAACATTATGATCTTAAAAAAGTACCTTTTATTTTGATTTCTTTTTTTTTTCAATTTTGTACAGGTGAAGACATGTTGCAAGCAGTATTTCCAGTTGGTCTTTCATTCCACGTGTTTACAAGGTAACTATTGTTACTTGTTTGCCAAGTGTCCTGAAAAAACTTGCCCCACTCTATCCCAAGAGTGAATAAACCAGGGACTTTAAATTTTGTCTGAACTTTTCAGTAGTTCAGTGTAGGTTTTATGTTCATGCATGTAGAAGGTTCTGTGCCCTATTTGACGTTGAATTATTGACCATTTTGTTTGAATAAATTTGGACTTAGTAATTCACTTATGGTATATGAGGATAATGATATTTAGCTAAGTTATGGAAGGTGGACAATGTAACTTGTCAGCTAGCTTTGCTAGTGTTACAATATTGAAAGGAGGGTCATATAAAGTTCTTCTCCAACAGTAAAGCTGAATAATTACCATTGCACTAGTATGACCAAATTAAATTATCCAGTTATATTTCAATATTTTACAGAGGTATACAGGAGTCAGTCTAACACTTCATTTCAAGATAACAGGACTGGTTTCTACACGGTACCAGTCTGGCATGCATGTAATTTACCAGAGGTAAGCATGTTGAAATTTATATTGAAATAGTTTGTAAATTTTGCACCCATTAAACTGTAGATACCAAATTTTATTTTATTTTTAATTGTCCATTTTTGAAAGATTTCTGCAAAATTTAGTTTGTTGTAAATCTCAATGAAAGCAAGGAAAAATATTAATTGTAGATAGTGTTCTTTCTTTTTCAGATGAAGCCTTTATTTGGAGACCAAGATTTTTTAGAGGAACAACATATTCTTATTGCTGTGATAGCCAAAGATGGCGACAATGAATCATATGGTATTTTCATGTTTTAAGAGATATAATTTGCTCATTGCCTTTTTTAAGGTTATAAGGAAATAAATGTGCCAAGTGAAATAACTATAGTATTGTACAAGGCCAGTTAGGACATATTAGACCTTAAGGTAAATGTAGAACTATACTAGGTCATGACAGAACATTATGGTAGATCTACTGGACCAAAAGAATAAAATGCAAGTTCAGAAAGAGGCGTTTATCATTAGTTCAGAGCTAGACAGCCAAGTCATGACTTTATAAAAGCCTTTAGATACAATATAGTCTAATTGCACTAAAACTGACTTTCAAGTTTATATGAGGTCCATTACAAAGCTACATGTAAGTGTTATTATACAGTTCATTCAGATTGTGATGTTACTCAAAGTTGCATCTGTGTTTATGAAAAATTCTATCTTTGAACTATCCTACATGAATATCTTTATCTAAAGCATTTGTGTTCCTGTTTTACAAGAGGGCAATTCCTACATTCCTATTTTTTATTCACATATGATTAAAAGCAATTTTTATCCTTTTTATGTGAAATGATTTCTATAAGTTTATTTGAATCAGATAGTTATATTTTCATTTTTGACCTCTATTTACAGGAGAGTGTGTCTTGTCGTTGAAGGACATGTTTTCCAATCAGCCCAAGGACTTTGAATACACACTATTACACCAAGGGGAGGAAACTGGAAAAATAAAGTAATATTTAGACACTTTCATAGTTCTGTTTTTAACACATTTTTCATTAACACTGTTAGGATAGTTTACTTTCAACAAGAAGGAATTATTTTTGTCATCTGTGGGCTAGTTTGACTGTAAAAGATTTGGTTTAAACATATATTTATTTAAGCTCGATTGCAAAACAAGTTCTTGCAACTTATATTAATCACTTTGAGTCCGCTTCCTGGAACCAACCAGGACTGGTGTCACATAAAGAAACATGGCCGAGACCCAATTAGGACTTGAACCCATGATCCCCAGGGCAGACACCTTAACGGCTAGGCCACCACTCCCCTCAAAATTGTAAAAGATTAGCAAACAAAGAAATGTGATTTATCCTTTACCTTCTTTATTTGTGTATCATGAATTTTTCCCTGCTTTAAATTTGGAACAGTTCATTCAAAGTTAAAGGGATCTCAATATCAAAGTACAACAAACCTGAGCTACCAACAGCATATAGCCTGGTCAAACTGCATGCTAGCCTGGGTCTATACTGGTGGCAAATGCTTACCTTTTTCAGTTCCATAAAGCCTAAATTTTGATTTAGTAATATATACAGTACTGCAATACTTAATGATAATATGTTAATCTTTTCAGGGGTAAAATGCATCTTGTATCCAAAAGCAAGAGGTCATCAAAGAAGTCTCCATACAGTAAGTTATGCAAACATAAAATAATTACAGGAATATTCTATTAATTAATACGATACATGTCAACCATCTAACTTCTTGTATAGAAAAGTGAACAGTTATAAATCAAATGATCAACAGTTAAACCCAGATATATAATAAAATGTTTGTCAAATGGAATAAATGAATCAAATGAATTGATATGGATCAAACCTGTGGCAGTAGTGTATGTTATATATTATTTTAGCATTATATAAAAAGAAAACATTGTAAGAATGCAAAATATCAATAAAAATGTGTTATTATTTTGTCTTTAAAAAATGTTAACTTTGTTATTGAGGGAGAAAAAATAACAGCAGCAAATACATGTAGGCCCTAAACCAGTGTTTATTGGCAGTTTAACACAGGTTTTTTTCTTCTTTGTGTATACTGGGATCCTTCATATTTACCGGACAAAATAAAAGCTATTCCTGCCAAATAGTGCTTTATTTTTTGCTTCGATTAAAAAATCATACCGTCTGAACGATGACCAAAAGGAAACTGTATGACAAAAAACAGAATTCCATTTGAATATCAAAATGTTTCATACGTTAAAGGATCATAAAGAATCACTACGTTCATTGAGTTAATAGTGTTAATTTCAATTACACCCTATATATTGGCCTCTTCATAATGGCTGCCATGTTTATTTTAATGACATCTTGTGTTTTCCCAATATCTTAACCTTGCCATTCAACAGTCGTAGTTCTTTTCCCAATATCTTAACCTTGCCATTCAACAGTCGTAGTTCCCTTGCTGATTATTAGTCCCCTACCGGTTTAACCGGAGGGGACTTTAGGTTTACCCTCCGTCCGTCTGTCTGTCAGTCCGTCAGTCCGTCCGTCCACAAAACTGGATCCCGCGATAACGCAAAAAGTACTGAAAATATTTTTATGAAACTTGATATATGGATAGATGGCAGTATGGAGATTATGCACGTCTTTTTCTTTTCTTCCTATGTTGAAAATTCTGGTTGCTATGGCAACAAATAGTCTGAAAATATGGCAAATTTAACACATAAACTGTTCCAGTGATAACTCAAAAAGTACTGAAAATATTTTTATGAAACATAAAATATGGGTAGATGGCAGTCTGCAGATTATGCACATCTTTTTCTTTTCTTCCTAGGTTGAAAATTCTGGTTGCTATGGCAACAAATAGCCTGGATTTCAAGATTTCTGATTTAATTTTTTCAGCTTTTTCACTATAAGTTCTTTATTTCTTAAGGTGTTTACTTCAAACTTTAAATATAAGTTTCTGGTCATCAACCACATCATATGTGACAAGGTTTACAACTCTAGCACAAAAATTATCAGTATTACCTCCCTTGAACTTAGGATTTTTATGAAAAAAAATGTTGTCTTTTTTAAATAACTTCTTTATTTCCTAATGTATCTACTTCAAACTTCATATATATGTTTCTTATTATCACTCAACATTTTTGAGAAGGTTAAATACTGTAGCAAGACTATTTCCAGAATTATGTCCCCCTTGAACTTAGATTTTTTTCGAGAAATTGGTATTTTTTACTCCAACTTCTTCATTCCTTATAGGATTTACTTTAAAATCCCACATCGTAATAATATGACAAGGTTGTATAAACATAATTGCCTTACTAGGCAGGGAAACTTAACACATTACTGTGAAATAGACAAACTTAAAACTCAAAAGATTTAAGTTCATTCATGTCATTCATTCACTGGTAAAATTGAAATCAGAATGTTGCTGGGGTTCTAACCGGTAGGGGACTTATGGATTGCTTGCAATACTATGATAATTGCTTGTTTTCAAGTTAATTTCAATTCACCACTTCAAAATAGTTTGAAACACAATGTCTGGTAAATTGAGTTGTCAACACAATTTTTTTCTATTATAATGCCCCACTTTGAAGACACATTTTTATGGTCAAAATTTTTAAATAACGTGTTTGATAAGGTCAGTTTTACGTGCATTAGGAACCCAAAATCGAATGTGTAAAATTTCATTGTTTTTCATGGTTTTAAATAAAAGCGAAAAAAAAAATCATATTTTGTCCGGTAATATGTAGAATCCCAGTAGTGACAAAAGCACAAGGAATGTTACAATAAGGTATCATTCATTATTGGTGTTGTAGGATTTTATTATTGTTCTTAGTGTTCAGTCCATGAAGATAACTGAAGCAGTGTAATTATTTACAAAATTTTCTTTGTTAACTTAACCCTTTCACTGCCGTCCTTGTTATTTTCGGCGTATTTGCCATATGGACGGCTTTAGCCGTTTCTATAAAAATAATAGTTATAATAATAAATTAATAATAATAATTATAAAAAATAATAATAAATATAAAGAAAATTATACCATCGACAATAATTATTATTATACTAACAGATTTGGAAACATATATAATTATTATGATACTAATAACAAATAATAATAATTATATTAATTAATAATATAGTAATTTCTTAGAAAATCCTCTGGCAAATAGGTGAACAATAAAACAATAACCCTCTGGCAGCGAAAGGGTTAATAACCATTGAAAAGGATGTACAATGTACATATAGACCTTACCAACTATCCTTCAGTTAGCTTACTGCAATCCAGCTGCCAGGCTAAAGACTCAAACTTGTGAAAATTTCACAATACACTGTTTTGTGTTGTAGCAAAAGATCTTTTGTTCCTTTCAATTATATAAATTACTTTAGGTTTTTGTAACTTTTCTTCTATTTAGGCTTGATTGCATTTGACACGGAGTATCAGGACCCAGAAATGTTTGTTTCTGGTACACCAAAGATGGATTTTCACCCTAGTGTACGTCAGGGTAGTAAACCAGGTTCTTTTGTTGTCAAGCATCCAACTGTTAGTCCCAAAGTTCCCCTGCGGCAAGTAATGAGTAGTTGCCAAGACGATAGGAGAGGAACATATGATAAAGTACAAATACCTACACGAGAGGTACATATATTTTTCTAAGGATTAAAAAGGTTTCATCTCACTGATACTAGAAAAGAATCAAATGATTATGAAAGAAATTATATTTATAATTGATGATCCTCTCATAGATTCTTAAAAAAGATTTTCCTTTCATGATTTTATACCTAAGAATCAAGGGATAAAGTATGAGTAACCAATATAAATTATTTGTTGTTATTTACAGCTTGCAAGATCTACAAGGGTTGACAGTCGAGCTCCCCAACCATTACCACCAAGCATAAGTAGCAGCCAGCCTGCGCCACCACCGAGGAGACCTCCATACATGGGTCAGACAGGTCTTATACAGGGCTCACAGAGGGTGCCACCGAGACATCCATCACAGTCTGATAGTGCACCCCCTGTTCCTCCTAAACAAAGACCATCAGTAGTTGGGGTCAGTATTTTATGTTGAGGCATTTCTTCCATTAGAGCTTCAATAAATGTGACAAGCTTTCTTAATTACTTCTTATAACATTTGGAAAGCTTTGAATTAACAAGATGGTCTTGAATCTATTGATGTCAGCTTCTTTTTAATCTGAAATGTTATTAATATTTACTTTCTGTCATATATATATAATATTTACTATATGTATTTTCATTGTCGAAATATGTCAACTTCTTACAAATGAAATTTTCATCCAAAATTCTTAATATGATATTTTGAGGCATAGTTTGCTCTTATGAATTCTACATAAGTCTTTTCTGTAAAAAAAGAGAAGAAGAAAAAAGTTGTATATAAGGTAAGGTGAAATGAAGACATTGGAATGAGAGTTGTGACAATGTTCTGTGTTTAAGAACAAACTGAAGCACAAAAATGAACATGCTGGTAATGAACCATTAATATTAATACTCAAAAAAGATGTGGGGAGGAAGGGTGGGGACTGTAGCCTAGTGGTTAATATGACTGCCTTTCAACCCAGGGATATTGTATGAAACCCCTACTTGGGTTACGACCTTATTTTCTTTACTGGACAGCTACAGGAAGCAGACTTGCAATTAATTAAAAAAATCTTCGAGATTTTAATCACAATTGAGCTGAAATAAGTATGTCTATGGTAGAGTTGACTTTAGATACTGTAATTCAAAAATACTTTAGATCCACTAATGTATGTATTAAAGTTATCAAGACTGTCTATAGGGTATCATTAGTGTGGAAATTTATAAAATTTTCATACATTATAAAATTTTAAATTTAACTTTATTTTCTAAACATTTCCTTTAGGACCATGGTTCTAAGTATGATGACCTGAAAAGACCATTAAGCCTGGAGGAGTGGCTAGCCCAGTTAAACCTGTCTTGTTATGAGCAGAACTTTAAATCAAACGGTTGGGAAAGTTTGATGTATTTAAACGAATTGACTTTGACTGATCTGTCCAACATGGGAGTTGACATACGTGAACACCAGCAGAAAATTCTACAAAGTATCAAAGAACTCAACAAAGTGTGACATTTTTCTTAATTGTTTCCACATATTATTTCCTTCCTGTTTAATTAAATGGTCTTAACAGAACAAGGTCCTGAGATAAAAGGGTCTTTTTTATAATCTCATTTTAATAGGACCTTTTTACTTGTAGACCATGAAATCATGAGCTGTAGCATGACAAATATACCACTATCATATATCAATGATGAATTTTTTATTTAACGGTTATTTTTTAAATCTCCACTTATTTTTTATAATCATTTTGTTTAATGTGATTTACTTTGTCATGTTTTTGCTCTATTTTTAATTGTTCCTACATGGGGAAAGGTTCATATATATGTACTGTACAGCTTAATAAAAGCAACACAAGTGTATGAGGCACTTTAACATCATCTAATTTCAAGTTGAGATTCTTTTATTCTGCCCACATCTTACATGCTTTATTCTATAATTGTCTTTTTCATGTTTTGAGTTTGAAACAGTTTATCATTAGTTTATGTGCTGTCAATGTCAAAATGTGAAAATCATTTCACCATCATTAGTCCATGTGCTATAAATGTTAACATGTGAAAATTGTTTCACAACCTTTAGTTCATGGTCGATCAATGTCAAAATGTGAAAATTCGAATATCAATGTGAAAATTGTATCACCATCACTAGTTTATAGACTACCATTTTCTAAATGTTGAAATTATGTCTCAAACATGAAAGTATTTTGTTATTCTGTAAGACTGAACTACATTAATACCTTGATCTATATACATGTACACATGACACAGGTCTTATAATTATATCACTATTACTGAAATAGAATATCAATCTCAGACTTATATGATGATTTTAAACTGCCTCCATATCTCATTTTGTACAAACAATGGTGCTTAGATGTTATGAATGAAACATTTTAAATTATTATATGAAATCTTAAGTGGATCTTTTTATACATGGCCAAAAAATTATTTGTAGTCTAAATTTTACTATTTACAAAAGCAAGTTCTAATAAAACTAATTTTACTAAAATATATCATTGGTCAGATGGGTAAAAATGGAGTCTTTTAGTTTTAGGTTTTATTTATGCATGTTCTTTGCTTTAATGTTGAATGTAACTTTCTTTTATTTGGAGTTATTTTAGTAACATCCAAATTTCCTTTATATTATATTACAATTTCATATGATTGCAGAACTTATTCAGCTCTAATATGGTAGTTATATAAACCTAAACGTTTCTTTGTATCTTAAATGAGAAAGAAAGCTTTGCGATCATAAGTAAAGAAAAATCCACATGCCTGATGCTTCAATGGAAAATTGTAAAGAAAATTATTTTGATATTAATTTGAATCTAACTACCAATCAAAATGACGGTTGTTATTAAATATGATATAGATACAAGTGCCATTATTGTACATCATGTGATATTTATACATACAATAACATGCTTATACTATACTCACAGGCAATTCAACCTGTTGCTTTATGCAAAACCTATATATAAACAGATAATGTTAGAATTATATTTTAATTTTGAGTGCAATATCAGTTGATATTGGAACACAGTATCAGTTGATATTGAAGCACATAATATGATATTTGACTGTAACAAGAGCTTGATGCAACTGATATTGCATCATGCATAGTTTAGATGGATGATTACTGTCTATAATTACACAAAATGTTTACAATAGTGGTTAATTACATAGTATCTAAACAACAAGTATACTATAATTGAACATAATGCACTGAACATTAAGATATATTTTCATTTATTACATACATATTTTTTAAGATAAAATGGTAGGTATATGGCCTTCTTTCAATTTGTGATATATAATAAATAAAAGAATTATATAATATAATGCAAATGAATGTTATTGTTTTACAATAATAACTGTATTACTGTCGCCATGACATACATTGATCTCACGTTTCTAGAAATAAACTATTATCATAATAATTATAATCTAGAGAGATCACATGACCATACTGACATGACACAAGATATCCATTTTGTTCTGTAAAGTTTATTTCTTCTTAGGTTTGTAGCCAGACCAAAACTGTTTAGTTGTTATGGCAACTTTACAGATATTTTTATACACTATATATCAAATTCAATTTCACTCTTACAAAGTATAAGGTGATGTTTTAAGATTAACTTTATATGTATATTTCTATTCAAATTGAAATTGGAGTCTTTAATTCTCTACAAAATTATCAGATTTTCAAAACGTGATTTTGATTTTTTGATGTTATTGGAAGGCAATGTCTCTATTTTAATTTAATTTTATATGTTAATATTATTGTTGTTGTTGTTCATTTATACATAGATATTTCATATTTTGCTCATTATGTATAATTTAATGCTTCCAACCCCTAAACTTCAAGTTACAATGTCATATACTATAATATTAGAATATACAGAATAATTTAGTATGAAATAGGGCATTTAGTATTGACACTTGTTTCAGAAAGAAGAAAAAAATATTTTATTTTAGATGATTTATTAATAAATTTCTGAAATTGTTAAAGTTCCATTTGCCAAAAAATGGAGCGTGATAACTTATAATGCTGATGCAACTTATATAAGTGTTAGAATGCAGCTCTAAAGACTTAATGTTTAATAGAAATGATAAAGTACTCTTATTATATTCATGGTGGTTGCATTTGCTCACTGATACTATTTAGTAATTGCTTATAACTTAGAAATTGAACTATAGACATGCATATATAATTTATAGTGAATAGGATGAATTATAATTAGTTAATAAACAGATGCATATTTGCTTAGAGGTAATATAAACTCAGGATTCAGTTGTTAAATGAATGAAAAACATTTTGATAAACATACCTTTGTAAATTTGTATAACTCAACAAGACCTTGCAGTAATGCTATTATCTACATGCATTTCTTTGGCTGCTCATATTAGAATTTTCACAATCTCATAATGTACATACAATTGACTTGTTGTACACTGAAAGTGAATCATGCTCAAAATACTACAAATTCAGTTGAGATAGAGAAGAATATAGAGGATATTGAATGAGTGTAGGTTTAATACTAAATTTATTGAACGAGTTGTATAAAATCATATTATGCGAGCCTCTGGCGAGCAAAATATTGTTTTATTCAACGAGTTCAATAAATTTAGTATTGAATCTACACGAATATAATATTCTATTTATCACATATATAAACTAAGAACGGTAAACTGTTATCAAGAGTCATTTTTCTTTGACGCGCCGATAGTGTAACGCTAACATTAGCGCGCTTTAACACTATGTTTATAGCGCAAATTACGTGACGTCAAAGTGTTATTACACTAGTGTAATATCGACTAGTGTAATACCGTTTTTATTAAATGGCTTTATTACACTCCTGCGCCTCGGTTTATGTGATAAAATGGGTTTATTGCAAATGGAAAAAAAAGTTTAAATTATTTCATTTAACATGATGCAATCTGCAGAACAACTTGTTTTGACACTAAGATAATATATATGTAAAATTGGATATTTGTTTGGTAATGACATTGAAAATACCCTGATACTTTGGCACTCTTATACATGTATTATACACTTTCTTATATTTGGTCTTTCAAAAAGGTTTGTACCTTGTTTATTTGTGAAAGAGGGATTTGATTTTCAGGTTTTTTTTGTTTTTGTACAAGTTTTTTTGCAGTGTGAACAGATAATATGCATATACAGTTTTTACAGATATTGCTATACATATGATCAACGATATAGGAGAAATGTATTTAATGACATGATTAAGAAAAGGAAAGATAATACAGTATAACTCATATATAAGTCGTACTTGCCTGTAAGGCGAGTCCTATAAATGGAGTTGCATTGTTGAACCTTGTATAAGACGCAGTTTATGAGAAATAATTTAAAATAACTGCTTTTTGAGATTTTTTATTACATGCTTTTCGGTGGTTTATAGAAATATATCAGTGACATAAAACTGGTAATTTCACTGTTTGAAACAGTGAAATTACCACTTTGATAATTTCACTGTTTTGAATTTAAGCCCCTTACGTTGTTTCAGTGAAATACCAGCGTGCACAGTACTGGGTACCAACTTAATGACGTGACGTCGTAAATGACGTCACGTTGTATTATTATTTGGCGCGCTTTTCATTCAGTATTAGGTTAAATGTCTTTTAAAACGTTCCTTTGCATGTAATAAAAAGAAAATTTGTTTAGTTTAGTGTAAGATTGAAATATATTTCACCTTGTGAACACCAAAAGTTCATATTTCACTCGTGGCTGCGCCACTCGTGAAATATACCTTTTGGTGCTCACTCGGTGAAATATATTCCGATCTTACACTGAACTAAACAAATATCCTCTATATCATTGTGCCATTCATGAACAATATTTCACCTATCAAAACCAGTTTCATTGTTTCAAAGTTTATCTATGATTTCTTTTACACTATTTGTCTCATGTTTTTAACTCAAATTCAACGTGTTTTAAGTATAGTGTCATATGCTACAAAGTTGACAAAAACAGTTAATGTTTTTTTTTTGTTATTTTATATTTTTTGTTGTTGACGATATTCTGACATGTTTTAGTGTTAATGATTATTTCTCTATCAATGTACTTTTATATTCTTTTGTATTTTGTCTACATTTCTTTTGTAGACATCTATTTATGAAAAAAATAAAGCTATTTTGATAACACTTTTATTTTCTTCAATTTCTGCTGGAATTTGAACTAAAATGAGTCACAGTGGTTAAAGTGTTTCAATGTTACAATAATACTTACAGAAGATGCCAAAGATGATTTAAATAATAATTTTGGATAATAATATATAAGTTTTTTACATGATTAAAACAGTATTGACAGAAGAGTGAAAGTATAAAGTTAACCATTGATGTATCATATTTGTTGAAATCCACGCTAAACGCTGTTCTGAAAACAGTAAACAGAATCTCTTCTCTTAAAGTCAACCTCTGTGTGACTTTTACCCGAGAAAGAAAACTTTGTGACTACTAGATAAAACTATTAAAAGCTTAAACAGAGAATCATAAGAATGGAAGTTAATAGGTTTTGTGAAAGTGAAATAAACAAGTTAGAGTTAAAGGATGATGAGAAGTGATGATGGTAGTGCTAATGGATTTTATGCATTTTGAAGAAACTTTTGACACACTAAAGAAAAGCGGCTGAACATACAAGTGTCGGGCGCAAAGAGCAGAATATGCTAAATGTTATCACATCTCTTTTAAAAGATGATCTATTAAATGTTAATAATTTTGCCACCGGAATTCACTTGAAAATAAATCATGTGAGATATTTTTGATGTCACTGATACATCACATGTTCCTAGGGTATGTCAGTTATACCTATTGGTCGAATATTGTTTGTGCAACACACAAATGTTAACATGCATGCATGTACCTGTTATACAGTGTATTAAAGCTTTAAAACGCTAACACATCATGCATAACTTCTTACGTTGTACTGTTAGCTTAAACAACATGTTCTATATAAATTTGTACTCTTATCCTGAGTGACAAAATCTATATATGTGGTAATAAATTATCTAATATCTAATTATAGGTAAGTATTTTATTTATTTTTCATAAACCGCTTTAAATGCAATTTCTTGCCCCGTTAAATATTAGAAACAGTTCTCCTTAACCCATAAATATCGACCTATTAATACATGTGTAATTTGTTTTCAACAGTAAATGAAATTGTAAATGTTCCTTTATAACTACAACTAGATATTCTGAATTCATTTGAATAATAAAGACCGACAGTTTGTTTCAAGGGTCATACCATTACTGATTGACACAAATGTAAGAACCTCTGACTGGAGTGAACAGCTGAATATGTTTGATGAAAAAAGTTGATTCATAATTTTGCTGTTTATAATGACTAATTCAGCATATCTTTTATCTTCCCTTAAAATATATGAAAACTTTCTTCATAATACAAGTATGTACATGTATTACTATTAGAGTTAACTGCAAATAAGTCATAGTATTTTGTTTTACATGTTGAAATAAGAAATTTATATATTAGATATTATTTTAACGTAATATAAACATGGTTTTATATACACATATCAGATTAGTAGGTATATTAGTTGACACTTTTTCTGTAGATATTGGTTCCATATATATTTATATGTTGCTAGGATACCGGCCCAACTTACCATGTCCTCGAAGAACATGACATTGAAGAACATTCGGATGACATTTTCAGGAAGGTAATATAATATTATTATTGTAGTTCTATGGTAGATCTACCCTTTGATTTATCTATCCTATTAACAATAAAAATGGTGTTCACCCTGATTTCTTAGTGAAACATGACTTTATTTAAACTTTAGCGCCTTAGCGTTGTAACAAAACATGACGTCATTTCGCATATAAGTACTCGCGTTGTCAGTATGAGAAAGTTTTATAATCTTCATTGCTTTCGAGGGACTTATGTTCCATAATTCATTTTTCATGGTGTAATACTTCTAACTTTCCTATGTCGAAGCTTTAATCATGTGTGTATCATGTAGCTCTAAGGTAACATTTCTGCCGAGTGTAAGAGTGTAGAAAGCAAAAATGTATATATACATTTGCGATATTGTCTTTTGCACCCTTTAAAATTTCTTTTATTAAATTTAATTCATTTTTTTTACATCCATACACACCCACAGGCACGAGTATCGGACCTGGGAAGAAAAAATATGACCAGATTGATAAAAAAAACCTGTGTTCATCTTAAAAGTGTCAAACAACCAAAAAAAATGTAAATAATGACCCCCTTTAAAAATATACTATAATCTTAACTTATAGTATATTTTTAAAGGGGGTCATTATTTACATTTTTTTTTTGGTTTTTTGACACTTTTAAGATGAACAATGGTTTTTTTTATCAATCTGGTCATATTTTTTCTTCCCAGGTTCGATACTCGTACCTGTGTACACACCCATATCGAATTTCATATATGTATGTACATGTATATATGAAATGAAATTTAGTAATGCTAATTGTTATAAGTGGTGTATTTGGTTGTTCTGTACATGTTTTAAATAAAAAAACAACAACGAAACTCAACTCCTTATATAAACTGACCTTCTTCTATCTTCCAGCTCTTGGAATTTTATTTGGCATCTATGATAAATTGAAACGTTGCCCCTATTATTGCCGATAGTTATTTAATAACGCCAAAATGCGAAAACGTGAGACACATCAACACATTCTCTAACGTTATTGAAAGCATTTGAAATTGTGAAAAGTATTTTTAGAACCTGCGAATATTTTTAAACATACGGGAATCAGTTAAACAAAATGCGTTTTAAGGAGGGTTGCAAACTGAGATTTGCATCTTAAGATAACTCTCTTATTATTCACAATAGCGTTGAATCTTTATATTATGTCTTGTTTTTTTTTATAGGAACCTGGCGTGTATAATGACGACCTTGCCGAACCAGTCTATCATGAAATTGTTGTTTCCACACTTGAGGAGTGGCTAACAACACTCGGTCTGTCGTGCTATATTAATGTGTTTCATGATAATGGTTGGGAAAATTTAATGGTGCTTGGGGAAATGACGGAAGCAGACCTGGACAGAATGGAAATCAACAATCGTTCCCATAGATCGTTAATTTTGTCTTGTATTGAAGATTTCAAATCCTGTTAAGTTATTTGTTTAGCTTATTTTGAGATGCACTTTAAAATAGTGCCTGGAACTCTTTTTTTTATATTTGTATACATTTCTAAAGTTTACTGACATTTATGCTGTTATGGTAGCTATTATGTTACTAAGATTATGAAAAACATTTAGTAGGTCTTTATGGAGAATATTATATTTGGATGATTATAATTGTATATGCAGGTTGACTAACAAAGCATTTTGATTGTAAATGATGACTTATGAAAGTCACAAACTGATAATTTAATTTTATGAGCTTTGTAAATTTGATATGTGATTCAAGTGATCCATGGTACACGTATATATATAAACCTAAATACATTCTTTAAGACTTGAACTTTGTCTTTGTCTTTTATGAATGAAAACTTATAATTTGTTAGATACGTTTTCTTTTTTAGGAAAACTTTAAAATAAGTAAATATCGCTAAATTTGTATACACATTGGAGTGACAAGGCTATTTTCGTATATCACAAATAAATGAAACGGTAACACATTGTATTGTGTATGGTGATAAGAAGTGAATTTCTAATTATTTCCTAATTCGCTACGCTCAAACGTAAATAAATTATTTATCCCATAATAAAGGCAATCGAAGGAAGAAAGAACAACAAATACATAAATTCACATTTAGGATTTGTTATCTCTACATTACTAATACATGTTCTTAGAAACAGCATACATGACATTAACATCTCAACGTTTCATAAATCTATGTAATCTAAAAGGACTTTCTTTACAATAATCTCATATCTTTATTATGAACATTAACATGGAAAACACACAGTTATGAACGTACTTTCCCTGTCAGTAATGCTGCGAGTCGGCTGCGCAACCCTACTCCATCGTGGGAGGGGGACGTAGTAGGAAACCAAAACTCAAGACCAGCCACCTTCCGTAAGTGCTCTGACATAATTTAATGAGAAAATCCATAAAAATAACCCACTTACTATGTAAAATGTAATTAAAAGCCGAATATGTACGCTCATTTACTGCACGCTTTCCACCTATAAGTTCAGAACATTTACAAAAACGTATAAAATATGGAATCTCTTCTTATATACAGACTATAAAAATTGAAATCATAAAAGTTCAAGGTATCGTATTTCACTAACTAAAGAATCGTTCTCCAAAATAACGAACATCCTGGGAAAGTAGTACATCTTGTTCTTGTAACAAAATCTGAAAAATATAAACTTAAGTAATTAACAATATTTTTAGTTAAATTCAAATCGTAACCAAAACGTTAAAAACTTGACTGAATTAATCTCCAAATGCATCTTTATAATACCATACTTCATTTACCATTAATACATTTATGTATTTATAAATTATAAACCTTGCAAAATTATTCTGCAGTTGTAAGAATATGCTTGTCCTTTTTAATTAGCGTGTCGATTTAAACGATTAAAACGATTTATCAAGAATGAAAATTGACCAAGAAAAATCATTGTAACTGTACAGATTAACTATGACTGCGTGAACTATTCGGGAGGGTGGGAGGGTATCAGTGCACGATAGAGTAAAATAAACGTGTGTAGCAATGCAGAAAACCTCGAATGATATACACATCTATCCGACTTTATTATATATTACTGACGCACGAGAAAATCGTGCGTATCATATTCAATGATTTTCAATACAGTAAAACTTCGATTACCTTAACCTAGGATAAATATATTGGTTATCTATTGCTATTCAAATTGGCTGGAATGATGATAAATATGAAGTACCGTAGTAAAAGGGACCCCCAATAGAATTATGACTCTAGATCTATATCTTTTAAAGAAAATTGAATTTCCGGTTATAATATTATGACCCCCATCTCCATTCAAAGTATTTTGTGAAGAAAAATTACCCTCAAAAAGTATGTTGATCCCGCTTGTCATTTGCTGTAATTATTAGTCCCCTACCGGTTTAACCGGAGGGGACTTTAGGTTTACCCTCCGTCCGTCCGTCTGTCTGTCTGTCTGTCCGTCCGTCCGTCCGTTCGTCTGTCTGTCAGTCCGTCCGTCCACAAAACTGGATCCCGCGATAACGCAAAAAGTACTGAAAATATTTTTATGAAACTTGATATATGGATAGATGGCAGTATGGAGATTATGCACAGCTTTTTTTTTCTTCCTATGTTGAAAATTCTGGTTGCTATGGCAACAAATAGCCTGAATTTCAAGATTTCTGAATTTTTCAGCTTTTTCACTATAAGTTCTTTATTTCTTAAGGTGTTTACTTCAAACTTTTAATATAAGTTTCTGGTCATCAACCACATCATATGTGACAAGGTTTACAACTCTAGCACAAAAATTATCAGTATTACCTCCCTATGAAAAAAATGTTGTCTTTTTTAAAAACCTTCTTTATTTCCTAATGTATCTACTTCAAACTTCATATATATGTTTCTTATTATCACTCAACATTTTTGAGAAGATTAAATACTCTAGCAAGACTTTTTCCAGAATTATGTACCCCTTGAACTTAGATTTTTTTCGAGAAATTGGTATTTTTTACTCCAACTTCTTCATTCCTTATAGGATTTACTTTAAAATCCCACATCGTAATACTATAACAAGGTTGTATAAACATAATTGCCTTACTAGGCAGGGAAACTTAACACATTACTGTGAAATAGACAAACTTAGAACTCAAACGATTTAAGTTCATTCATGTCATTCATTCACTGGTAAAATTGAAATAAGAATGTTGCTGGGGTTCTAACCGGTAGGGGACTTATTGATTGCTTGCAATACTATGATAGTTGCTTGTTTTTTAAAAAAAGGTTACCTTTTTCAAAATATAAGAAAAGTAAATGAAGAGTTGCAATTAAGAAATGAAGGCAATAGAAACATAAAAAAAATCTTTTAAAGTTTTCAATGACTTAATTTCAAATCTGATTATTTTTTTTAGCTCACCTTACCACAAAGTGGTCAAGGTGAGGTATATTGATGGGGCTCTTTCCGGCGTCCGTCGTCGTGCGTCATCATTAATTGGGTTGTTTACACTCTAGCAGTCACAATTTTGATTCGATCATAATCAGACTTTGTCAAAAGGTTTGTCTCAATAAAATACAGGTCAAGTTCAAATATGGGTCATCTCGGATCAAAACCTAGGTCACAGGTTCTAAAAATAGAAGAAGTTTGTTAAAACTCTAGTGGGTGTTATCTTTGTCTCTGGTTACACTGCCCGAATATGGAAAAACCTTGTGAATTGTCAATTGTCATCAAACTTGGTCGGGATGCTTACCTAGTTAATTGCTTGGAGGAGTTCGAACATGGGTCATCTCTGATGTAAAACTAGGTCACAGGAGCTAGAAATAGAAAAATTTTGTGAACTCTCTAGTGGCTGCTGTTGTTATATAAATATCCTGGATATTGGTCTACAAGTTTGTTTTGATGATTTCTAGGTCAAATTCAAATATGGTAGTAATTTTAGATTTTTGGAGGATAGTGCAATTACAGACACAGAAAGATGCCCCAATTTCAGAAGCTTCTCCTGGTTCTTTAGCGTGCCAAGTGTTTAAGCACCCATACACGGGACCTCGATTTAAAGTCTCATCCGAAAGACTGATTAGTAATTTTTGTTTGCCAGCCCGGGAATCGAACCCACAAAGTCGAGATTACAAGTCTCGCGCTCTAACCGATTGAGCTATGCGGGCTGGCGTTTCGATTACATAGACAGAGACATGCTTTTATACAAGCTTCTTATCAACAACATAGACGGAAAGATGTATAATTCTATATAGAGCATATACGATAGCTCCAGTTCGTGTGTGAGAATAAATCAGAAAAATGACTAACTGGTTCGATTGTGTCACAAGAGTCAAGCAGAGCTGTACATTATCACCGACACTATTTTCCATCTTCGCAGAAGAAATTAATGACCTTGACCTTGGCATGCCTATGGATGATATTAAAGTATAGCTACCTATGTTGGCGGACGACATAGTTTTGATCTCAGATTCTGAAGAAAAATACAGACAATGCTAAACACTATACATGACTGGTGTAAGAAATGGCGCGTTCTAATAAATACTAGTTAATCAAAATGTAAACACTTAAGAAAAGGACGGGCGCAACGAACAGACTTCGCATTCAGAATCGGTGACAACGAGCTAGAAACCGTTGAGGCTTACAAATATCTAGGCGTAATATTCCACGAAAAACATGATTTTTCTACCAACTGTGATGCTTTAGCAAAAGGAGCCGGTGTAACGTTGTAAATGGACCCCCATAGAATAATGATCCCCGGTCATTATGTTATATCAAATAGTGACCCCTTCTTTAAAATAGTGACGCCCTCGTATATAAAATAATGACCCCATATATTATCTATGAAATATTGACTCCCACCTAACATAATCTGTAGAGTCAACGTCATATTACATTTGCGTATACGTGTTGTTGCTGTTGTACTTGTTGCTGCTTCTGATACTGCTGCTGCTACTGCCGCGATAACAGCTGACAAAACAACAGTAAAAATCAGAGGTCCCGCTAAGAATAAGCGAACATTTAATAAAAAATTTAATGAATTTTAAAGTTCTATTAAATGCTTAATGCGAAATTCTATCTGAAAGTGTGTTCATTTTCACTGAGAACACAGCGTTTCGGTAAAGAATGTGTTCAAAGCCCAGAGCAAAGCAACTTTTTTTTCTTTTTTCTTCATATTTTGCCTTCATTTAGGCAATTCAGCTATATAGGCCATCATCTTTTTATAGGTAAATAGGTATTTTGACTGAAAGAAATTAGTTCTTTATCACTTATTTTAGCATGCATATTAAGCAAACATCTCACGAGGGCGTAGCCCGAGTGGTATAATGATGCGTATCCAAACGACAAACAGTGATTTTATCAAGCGGAAAAAATGAATTAATATTGTTAAACAAGGTCCGGTTGAACCGGGTGATGCTCCCCGAGAAGGTTTTGGACACTGGAAAGTATTAAAAAAATGAACAAAGGGCAATAACTCCAAAATTAGACAAGTCTTTGTTTAGGTTCTTTAAGCATTGCAGTTCTATCCAATGGTATCTATCTACCTACAAAGTTTCATGTTGATATCTCTAATAGTTTTAGAGTTATATCCCGGACAAAAGTAAAAAAGTAAAAATAAACGAAGGGCAATAACTTCAAAATAAGGCAAGGCAGAGTTTTGATTTTTTTAGCATTGCACTTCTACCCAATGAGACCTATCTATCTACAGAGTTTCATGTTGATATCTCTTATAATTGTAGAGTCATGTCCCGGACAA